GTTCGACTAGTAAGCACGTATTGTTTGAAAGTTTAGTCTAGCCTTAAAGAAAAATTCAATTCTTTTAAAACGTTCTCTATAACTACTTTTTAGTGAGACAAGTAAAACTGTTTTAAACTTTTAATAAATCCTTAAATTAAAAAGCTTCCAGTAGATAAATTGTAGCTATACGAGTAAAATGATCCTTCGTTTATTCAAATGTATTAAGATAATATATCTTACAAAGTACGGATCGTAAATGAGAAGATTATTAGGCACAAGCATTCATCGAATGCAATGATAGTTAGGAGTTTCTGGCAATGATTAGTAACTAGAGCGTCGTAAAGGCCGCGGCCACCCGCGGGGCCCGCCACTAACACGTCGCGGGCCGGCCGTTGGTCACACTGTTGTGACTCAAAAGTTTCAATACGACCTGCAATATTGTTCCAAGTCATTCAAGAACAATTGAGGAAAAAAGATCGTCAAACCGCGATTATAACCGCTAAAGGAGTTTTCATTTGATGTCTTTTTTGCAATGTTTATATGTACATTTTTATTTAGTCTCTATTTGTGTTTCGCATTGTGAGGCAAATTATCGGAACATAAATCACATCCCCTTTCCCTTTTGCAATTCCGTAGATATTGAGACTGGTAACATTTTGTAAAATAAAAGAATAGTTCCAAGTGATCGAGTAGCATTTGATAGTGTCGGTCGCGACTATATCCAGACGCTGTCTCCTCACGCCGCTAATGTTGCGTGAGTTGCACTCGACTGCCACTTAGCTAATACTCGGCCCTGCATACATGCATTTCCAAATAAAAAACACCACTAGACCGAGATTTATAATAATCTATATAAATGTTTTACTTATCTATCTCAATTTTATTCCTTATTCCACAGAAGTTTAAGCGAAGAACAAAAACTACCGTTCGTTAAAGAAGCAGAGAAGCTACGGACTCAGCACAAAAAGGAGTACCCGGACTATAAATACCAGCCTAGGCGCCGTAAGCCGCCGCCTACCACCTCGTCGGCTGCGAGGCTCAAGCGAGAACCTTCCCCGGAAAGAGAACAAATAGACTTCTCACGGATAGACGTCGACGGACCATTGCTGCCCGACGGACCGCCAGATGGCGCTGAGCTAGACCAATACTTGAAACCGACCACGATACCAGATTACCACGAAATGCAACCACACTACCCTTCCCATGGGTTGCCATATCACGCCTCCGCTGTCTTCACTCCGGTCCCTTCACATTTGCATCCTCCTTGTACGGACTGGCAGCACTATGCTCGCCCTTAAAAGTATCTCCAAATTAAAAAAAAACTAAAACTTTTCCAATTTCCAAATGTCACAAACACTAGATTTAATCTGACCTAATCAGTAACAGTGGTGAAAATTGGAATTACAATAGAATTTACCAATCAGCTGCAGCTATTCTCGAAGGTGGCGACAACACTCTCTTTGCAGATAACTTGGTCTGTCTATATCTCGTTAACTTTAGTGTGGTAGTAGGTATCAGTTTAAATAAAAACATGAATAATTGATAACTACGACTGCTGTTAGGTTAAGTTTGTAAATATATATTTATATATGTTTTATTTGATAGTAAAGCAGAACGATTAACGCGCACGTGCGTTTAATCAAAGTAATGTAAACACATGCAAAATAGGAGCGTATGTAAGTATACGTACAAACGTAATATTTAAAGAAATCAATATGGTGGATACTTTAATTAAAAAATAGAATTATGAAACAAATTAAAAAAAATCGTTATTCGAAATGATTTAAGATCTTTATTACTCGTAATTATGTTATTATTCTTGAGGGTGTTAGCAATTAAAGAAAAATACTTAGACTGTTAATTACATGGTTAAGAAAAAAAAGTTAGGTTATAAAAACAATCCTCATTTTTCCAAAGCTTAAATAATACGCAACAGTTACATTAAGTAAATTAAAGATTTACATATAAATATGTTTAAGTTATTATTGTGATTAATTAGTCTTATAAATATAATGTTAATGTTATTTTTTTAATTAAAACATTTCGAATAAAAATATATTTTACTTCATAATTTCCTTTTATTTAAGAATAAATTTATTAGGAAAATGGTATATTAAAGTGGGTACTACATTGAATATTTGGTTTGGTTTAACATTTTATATTAGGTGTGTTGCAATATTTGTTAAAACAGTATATTTTAGTATTTACTCTCATAAAAATGCTTTATCATTGTGTTCTTTACATTCTTGAGTGAAGAAAGTTTTAGCAAAATACAGTTTCTTTTGATTACGAAAGATCTAAATCTATGTGGCAACTATCGAAGTTGACGTCAATATTGAAATTAGTATCATTTAAATAATATCATGTTTGTTAAACTTAATCTTTGTCTGTAATTTGTGCGGTTCTTCGAAATACATGTAGGCACGTCGTGGCCGGGATGATAGGGCGCTCGCCCGCGGTTTCCGGCCCCCGGAGCACAAAGCCTACCCTTGTTTATATATCTTATCACTCTCACATTTTTCGCGACCGATGCTAATGAGGCCATATACCGACTTATGATTATGCGCTTTTAAGATAATATCGATCAATGAAGCTGATTTATAAAGTTTGCTCTAAGTTCACGGTGGATTGAGATAGCGTTATTAGAGGTCGAAAGTCTAGTATTATTAAATGATGATACCTACTTCATATTGTCATGTTTTAAATCCTCTTTAAACTTAGAACATGTTACTTTCAATTATTTTTTATATCGTACTAAAATAAATTAACCAAAATATTAATAAAGTTCATAGAAACACGCCGCAAAAAAATTCAACTATCAAAAAAACAATTGACAATAAATCTTTAAATGCAGATATTTTAGTAATTATCAGAGATAACAAAAACTACAATATTGAAACGATGCTGTTATGAATTTGTAATGGTGCATAGTGATGTGGGATATTAAGATTGAGTGCAAATGAAGCGCGAGGCGCGTGCGGCGGCGGCTCGGGTTACTCACAAGCTACATGTGCTTGTCTGTGTGTCCATGTGCTCGTGTCTGGGTGTCTGTGCCGACAGCAGACGGAAGATATCGCTTAACCATCAGACTTTTTGTAGACAAACACATGAGATATTAATTACTGAGGCGGAGGTTGCCATGCCCAATTTTACGCTCTAATATGCTACAATTTGTTCAAAAATCCATTAAAAATATCAGATATTTGGTATATGTTCAGAATCGTTTTAAAAAGAGCAAACGTTCATCTAACTTCCCTAAAATACTGCAGTTTCTGTTGGCCATAGATATTTGCAACAAGTCTACAAGGTGACAAATGATTTTCCTACCTTTAATGGACTGGAAGGAGACGAACAGAAATAGAATATTCCACTTTACTGCGTCCCCTCTCCTGTTAAATTAACTTTCCCATCCCATCCTTTTCCTGTGTTTTTTTTAAATCTTACAAGTAGATTCAATTTTAATAACAATATTATAGTAGCAATCTATTCGTATATGTAACAATTTAGCACTTGCATTTGCTTTATTCAAAATTAAAGCAGCTTTTACTAAAGAACAAAATAGACTATCTGAATTTGTACAAAATGCCCAGAGGAAAGTCTATGTATTGAATGGACAAAAAGAAAGTTGTTCAAGTGGTGGGCCCTGTGCCGTGTGAAATCCCTTCGTTGGTCGCGCTGAGCCAGCAGCGCCTGTAAGCCGACACCACGGCGTCTGGAGAACATCGTGGGGAAATCAAATCCAAACAATCGTGCGCCGCCGAGTGCCGACATGTGCACAATACATCTGTATCGTCCAGTAATTAATAACGTATGACTTATATGGAATCAAAGTTCGCTTATAACATTTGATTAATCTATCTATGTCTTACAAATAAATATTTTTATCTCATTATATTTTATTATAATCTTGTATAGATTTATTTCTAAGATAAAGTCTTATATAAATGAAAAATTCCACATAGTTATGTTGATTAATGTTTTATAGCACAAACAAAGATCCATTCCAAAATCGGCCTAAAAATAATAAATGTGTTTCAACAGTAGTTTTTAAAAAGTAATTTAAAACTATGAGCTGGTGTAACTGAAATAATAAATGATGTTGATCTGGAAAATAAGTCCATACTTTTTAGCTTAAGTATCGTCAAATTAAATATATTTTAATTATTGCAGTGAACAAAAAGCATAAGGTAAAATTTATCTTGTTTTAAAATTAATTCAATAGTAAATACATTCTTATAAGATTTACAAAAGTAAGCTTTAAGTGACGCAACTTTCTTGGCTGAACGACAAAAACCTCTAACTTTGAAAGTGGATAAAAAAACAAATAGCAGCTGTCAAATTAATCAATTTGACACTCAATTTCAAGTGATTAAAATCTTAAAATTTATTTCTTGGAAATGATTTTAACAAGTTATACATGAGGTGTGGTTAAATTTTAGTATTAATGGCAAATTTACCGAATGGCTGGCTTCAGCTGGTAAGTACTGCGTGTTATTGAGATTCAATTAAGAGCAAGTACTTGGACAGTGTTTGTATGATTATTGTCTTCCTTTAAGTAATAATTGAACACAATTGTTTAATTTACAATAGTAAGTCGTAGCAGGCAAATTGAGTTACAACTACAAAAATCATTGAAGAAATTTCTATTTCAATAAGAAAAACAACATAATTTCTTTAAATAACACATAAGATGTATGACTTTTACAGGTACCTCTCTGAAGGCTTCCAAGTGATAATTGAGAAGTCAAAAGAAGATAAATGTTCATTAAATGATGTCCAATTACGTTTCCTTTGCCCTGATGATTTAGAAGAAGTAAGTATTGAAGCATAAATGTCAAAAACTCTTAATTTTTTGGATCATTGATTCTCAAATACAACTATTTATTGACTTGTTTCGTTATTTATTTCAGGTAAGAGCACTATGCAGAGATTGGTTTCCAATAGAATACCCACAATCATGGTATGAAGATATAACATCATCTGAAAGATTCTTTGCACTAGCTGCAGTATACAAGAGCCAAATTATAGGACTCATTGTAGCTGAGATCAAACCATATTTAAAATTAAATGCAGAGGACAGAGGAATACTGTCAAGATGGTTTGCATCAAAAGACACACTTGTAGCTTATATTTTGTCATTAGGTAAGATAACATTTTATAAAACTTATAAAAACTCTGGTAATTTCTTAATTATAAAGTACCTGTCGACTGTCACTCTGTCCATGCAGGATTGAAAATAAACTTAATTAGTAGCCTATATGTTCTTCTAGACTGTGTTCTACATCTATGCCAAATTTCACCAAGATCCATGTGTTCCATGCGTTCCATCCAAGCATTCCGGTGATACCTTTTAACAAACATCCATCTATATAAGATTGATAAGTTTAGTGTCTTAGCTGTACATGTTTTGTTTTTATTATAAAATACAAACTTGTATTTGCTGTCTAAAGTTGTCAGAAGTTAATTTTATGTGAATTGACATTCCAGGTGTAGTCCGATCATACAGACGGTCCGGTGTAGCGACAATGCTTTTAGATGTGTTGATCAAGCACTTAGCAGGACCTGTTGTTCAACTTCCTCATGAGCATAGAGTAAAGGCTATATTCCTTCATGTGCTCACCACAAACAATGAGGCTATACATTTTTACGAAAAGAGAAGGTATGTTTTGCCCTTTTTTCTTCGAAATTAATTTTTTATTATTTTACACTATCTGTCGCCCGCGACACCGTCCGCGAGGAATTAAAAAAAAAAATTATTAGTAGCATATGCGTTGTTCCAGACTATGCTTTATATGTATGGCAAATTTCATTGAGATCCTGTCAGCCGTTTTGGAGATCAAACAAACATAAATCCATCTAAACATACGCATTTATAATTTTAGTAAGATTGTAATTTTGTACATGTATTTACAGATTTCGATTACATTCATTTTTGCCTTACTACTATTCAATAAAGGGACGTTGTAAGGATGGGTTTACCTATGTATATTACGTGAATGGAGGTCATGCTCCTTGGGGGATATATGACTATGTCAAATATGTAGCTCGAGCAGCGTGGAGCGGAGGTGGACTTTACCCCTGGATTTGGGGTAAGCTCCGAACAGCTCTTACCATAGCATGGCACAGATAGTCAATTTAATACTCCGTGAATTATATACTCTAATACACTAACATGCTAATATTAGTCTAAGTCTACTCGTAAGAATATTTGGAAAGAACTTGGTCATTCCCTAACACTATAATTTGTATGTTTGATAAATTTATATTGTCCAATTTCAAATTTTATGATTAATTTGGCAATCTAAAACATATGGCAAATGGATTTCCCTTTTTTATTTACCAAGTTTCCGGTACCATTTCATTAAAATATTTTTATTTCAAATATTTGTTAATCATTTAAAAATATTAAAAGTATTGATGGTATTGTTCAGTTAAAAGAAATATATACAACAGTGTACACTATAATTGTAAGACAGTTATTTGTTTTAATGATTCTTGTGTCATTTACGGACACAATATGAAAAGCAGTTAAAATTAACACTTGTATACACATATATAATACATGTTTTTAGTGCATTTAGTATACATAAAATATATATACAGACGAACCTGAATAAGCGAGAATCATTGTCCAGTATCCCGACCTCTATAAGCGAGAAATTTGGATAAGAGAGAAACCTCTATAAGCGAGAAAAATATTTCTGCCTCTTAAATTCTTGCTTATCCAGGTTCGACTAAAAATTTACTAGTGACGTATGATAATTCATATTGTTCTAGTCCCATGAGTCTATTGAAATAATATGGGTTTGCTTATAAAACATTTTGAGATTATTTTGTTACGAAGACCAAATAATTATAATGCAACCGTTTTAAAAATACCTTTACCATGCCTTATAAATGTATGAAATGTATGATCCATTTTCGCTTGCATGGCCAATGTTAAATTTATGACAAAAATTTAAATATTTTATTCTATAAATGTCATAATGCAAGCAAATGTGATTAAAATAGAAAAAAAATTGTAGATTTTTTTTAGTCTGTGGCGTTGTCAAAACATATTTTTAAAATCAGTCCAGTGATTTAGTATTGCGTACGGGGACACAAATTTTTTTCTTTTATTTTAGAAGATTAAGGTCAACCGGTAAATGGACATTGTTAATATTATAATTAATTTAAATATAATATAATACAATTACATTGCAAGCTATTTATGCAATAATGCTTGATTTTTTTTTAATTTGATTTTTTTTAATTAATTGTTATTATAAAAATTTGCATAATTTTTAACATATTTGTCAATTTAAATGGTAAACACACTTGATGTGCGAGGTCACATTTAGTAATTTTTTTAAATTTTATAACATTAAATTTGCATAAATCAACAGTTTTTAAACATATTAGGAGGATATTTTGAATATACACTGCCATTAACATCGTCCATAACACAAGCAACAAGTATAATTAATTAAAAACGTAAATAACAGTTTCAGTCCTCTTTCTTATGAAGTACAGTGGGCACCGTTGGCACTACACCACTTACAAAAAAGTGCCTTCATACAAAAAAACGATATACGGTGCTATCGATGTTTTAATATAAATCAACTAAACCTGCATACCTCTGTCTTTGTGTGGAATATATGTTTTTAACATATATCGTTTTAAGACATACAAGACGTACAAACGATTTTCGCTATAGATGTATACCGTCTGCCAACCCCACTGTACTTACACAATTAAACTAGGCCAGTGTTTACTACATTCGGTTTTTTTTCAATACTCTTATATGTTTCTTTATGTAAATGACTTATGTATCTTAAATTTTTTTATTAAACTAATTATTGTTTCTTTGTATTCAGATTTAAGATACATCTTAGCAGTAAAGTTAACAATACTGTTCAATATAACTTGCTTTTCAGTTTATATGCTTCATAGCCGTAGGTTTTCACTGCTAAAATATCCATAAAAACATATTTTTATTTCAGTTTTTTTACAAAGAAGACAGTATGTTAAATTAATCTTTTGTCAGTGTAATCTTACGGTTATCGTTTAAGATGAATTATCGTTTATTTTAACTTAAAATTGATAAATTCTTAACACCTTTACGTTTTGTGCTACGGCTTAGTTTCACCTCGTACTTCCAATATAAACTTACAGAATAAATGGCCGATAACAGGCATTATACACCAAATACTGTCATATAATGTATATCAAATAAGAAATATAGTATTAATCCAATAATTTATGATAATTGGCACGTAAATTTGTGTACTTTTACAATTTAGGTACTGTTTACAATAATATACAGAAGGGGAATTGCAGAATGTAAATTTATAGTGTGCCATGGGTTTATGCCAAGAAATTTAAAGTAAGGAGCCTGTGTGTTCAAATATATGGTAAATATTAAACAGTTATGTAATTGATAATGATAAGTGAAATTTTCTTTTTAATATAGTCTGAATTAAACTGCATCATTTGAACCGTCAAGGTCCGTTTTAACAGCGGCATTCTAATATATGTCATATTGTACCAGTGTGTTTTATAAACGGACAGACTAATCTGGTCAAACTAAATTTCAGTAGCTTATAAGCTCCCTCCATGTCAAAAACTTGTCACAAAATCCATGTTGTACTTTGTTTTGTCATGTCTAATATTGTCCATTATTTTCTATGCCTAGGTAGATTTTACATATTTTCTGACAGATCTAACCGCCTCTTACCGGGCCAGATGAGTTTGTCCTATTATATTGTTAATTTTACAATTGAGAGAATGAGTGCCTTTTGTTAACTATAGATATCAGCATGATCAAGAGTGCAGTAGCACTAAATATATTACAGATAAAAAATAATTTTATATACAAAGTACTCTGTGGTGTGTAGTCATAACAACGACATCTGTCAAATTTTACTCGAACAATTAAATGAGGAGTTTTTTTTTTAAATAATTCATAGATTATATAGCAAAAAACGTTTTTTCCATTTGTAGATGCATATCGGCTTCGGAGTATTTTCAAATTGTTTGCAGTTAATAAGGAATTCATTTGTATTTTTTTATTGCTAAAGTGACATAAAAAATCTTTGACAGATTGTCATCTGTCAAAGATTTGGCTATGGCCAACTGTTGACGTTGGCGCCACCTATTGTTTTTCTACCCGTTTGGATATTTTTTCAATTTAGTCGAGCTTTCTAGTGTAGTTGTCAAAACGGACCTTATTACGTGAGGATATAAGTCGACATAAACTGTATATAAACCAACAGTTATATATTTTAGGTTGTTTTTTGTTTAACAGAAATAACATTTGTACATAAACGAAGTTATAATTAATTTTGACTTACTGTAAACCAAAGCTTTCAATTAAATACTTTCATATTTTGATTTTTATTAAAGTATTAACTAAATTATTATTTATTTAGACGTATGATAACGATTAGTATTATTTTACGGACCATTTTTTATTTTTAATATTGTGATATTTTGTAAAACAGAAATGTTTGTCAAATTACCAAAATCCTTTGGTCGAAATTCAGAAAGTTCACGCGAAGACAAATGTAGCCATTGTTAACATCACATCAATGTTTTATAGCTGCACGTTCCTAATCTTTTTTGAACGTATTTTATATTTATTTATGATATATTTAAACATTTAGTATTACGGAAAAGCATAAGCTTCCAAATAAATATCATTGTTGACAATTTTTGTGTTGCCTTTTATTTCTAAAATATTTAAGCCTTTCGTATAGAGATGACGTAAATCGTCGAAAATAATATTGCATCCTTGGATGCAACTGGCGAGGATTTACGTTGCCTCGTGTATAAAGTGCTGTACCTTACTTACCTTACTCATGAGTTTATATCAGTCAGTATCTTTTCTTTATTATCGAAGTTTATTAGCTTAAAAATAATTTAAATTAGTCTAGGGAATAAATTAAAAAAGAACAGCGAACAATTTCAGAAATTCTTTAATTTTAATAATTGCTTTTTCTTTTCATCAACTATGCTGTACAGACTACGTCGCTTAAATTAGAATTAGCAATTAATAATTGCACGTAAAAAAACTTAACAAATATTTACTTTTAACTTTTCGATTGGAATGAACGATTATTACATTAAGTAATATTTTTTTTACAATATATAATAATATATAACTCTACAAAATGAAAATCGTCTATATCAACAAGCAGTCACAATCGCCCAATGATATGTAAAATTATTATTAATCGTTTTGTTTTTATTATTGCGCACTAATTGTTATACGTGTTTAGTTTATAACATGTTTAATCTAATGTATCCAAGTGGAAGGGATGGCTCTTCCGGCGGGAGATGAGACTAGTTGGGACGTGGGAGTCGGTAGAGGTCGCGTCAGGCGCACCAATCTATGTCACCAGGTTACTTCTCTCTGTCGCGCCAGTCTTGTGGTTTTGATTCTTGAAGTCTTTTAACCGAATCGGTGACGATTCGCTACCCGAATCGCCCTGAAAATACGAATATAAGAAATGTAAACTTAAGCATTAGCTACTCCATTAAATAAAAAAATTAGGAGTGAAATAAATACGTTCAATAGCTCACTGAACGTGTTTAGAACACATGTCTCTGTCCAATTATGAACTCGGCATACTGGTCTTTTTTATGTTTAGTGAATTGGGCGTACATTAGCACCGAGCGAAGTAGTCTCTTGTAACAGCAGCTCGCTGTCTGTGCCGCGCGACTCCTTGTTCTTGAGTATGGAACGCGAGCGTGAGTCGCTCTCCAGCGGCCACCCGCCACTACCGCGCTTGTTGCCGTTCTTACCTGTATAATAAGTATGTGTAGTAAAAATATATTTTTCTTGATGCCTTTACCTTATATAATATTGGAGTAAATTAGCAATAATGTACCATAGTCGCATCTTTTATAAATCGCATTTTTTTTTCAATATTCCCCTCTTGGCGTCTTTGTAGTTAACAATGGCAGAACCTATAGTAGTCATTTTGTTTAAAAAATATGATGTTATCTTTTACCAAACAGGATATGATGATTGATGATCCTCGTTGCTATGCCCCTAGGCGGTTTCCTCTCCTCCTCCGACCATTCCTGTAAGCAAACATAAATAAATACATATCCGTTACAGTCAATATCAAGTTAAAGATACACTTGTAGTTAGCAGGACCGGAGACAGGAATACATGCTTTGAGACATATAGATATTTCGTTTGTGATACGTGCAATTTAATGGATGGACTCCAATCAACTTTTCAAACAAAATCATTCTTTTATTCACACCGCAGACTTGGATCCGTTTGAGAATTTTATTATCCAACTACTGGTCGTCTTCATCTTCATTAGATGTTTGTCAGCTTCCCAGGGATTTACCTGCTGGAAGCGCGCTTTTCTGTGTTTGGGCTTGGAGTCGTCCGGGCCGGGCAGTCCGACAGGTGGCGCCTCCTCGCGCGCTTCTAGCGGCTGCGGCAAGCTGATGCGCGACGCGTCTAGAGGCCGGGGGGCGACTGGGCCCCCCACACCCGCCAAGCTGCCGCCGGACCCTCGCGGCGACCCCTCGCCCTGCGAACCTTTCGCACACAACACGCTTCCGTCTCCAGACGCGCTTTTGCGCACTCCGTTAAACTCCACCGACCCCCCCTCGGCGCTCCCCCCCGCGCCGCCGCCGCCGCTGCCGTCCAGCGGATTCACATACAAGTTTGAGGAGTCGTTCTCGCAGGCGATGTCGCCTTCTGAAGGAAAAGGGTGCGTAAGGCATGATGCAAATGTATCTGCAATGTAAGACAAATACGCACATGGAGCCGCGCAAGACCCTCCGCACAGTGGTCTCCGCAGCTCAACAAACAACACAATAATAAATGAAGTGCTAAACTACTGAACGGTACAGTGAAAAAATACGTGTGGTTAAAATATACAAACATGACAAGTGGAAAGGTACCAAAAGGTTTTAATATAAAATATGTTTTGCAATCACACTGTGGAGAAAAGTGTAATAAGTGATAAACGTGTTTTATACAGATATTATAAAAGGTTGGAACAGAAACTATTTACGATTAGTTGGTGGATTTGTGCCTCTCTATCAAATCACTGCGCTGTGTCATTTCCTATCAATGAACATTGTGCTTTGAAGAAAGCTTTTTAACAGCCCATTATTGGAATGTATGAGATTTGCATATCTACATTTTGAATACTATCGCTGTTTGTTTGAGAGGCAGGCAGCGGGCGGTGGTTAGAGGGCGCTAGTTGCGGGCTTTGGCAAGGAACTTACCGGGGCTGTCGAGGCTGTTGGGTGTGGCCTCAGGCAGGGCGCGCGGCGCTGGGTGCCGCTGCAGACAGGCCAGCTCCACGCACACTGGCTGGCGCAGGTCGGACGTCGACATCGGCATCAGCTGCTCCGCGTCGATGAACTCTTTGTAGCCCTGGAAACAATATAAAGATTACGCTGAAACGTCAAGTGTCATAATATCCCTATAATGAATAGTTGCTCTTTATTTTTCTCTTCCCATTATATATTTTTGAACTTGTTTTATTTATAAGTATTTGATATTCTTCTTCTTCTTCTTCTTTTATTATTTTAATTTTTGTTGAATGAAGTGACTGATTGAAAGTGGCAATAATAATACGCGATGAATTGATCGGGACATAGAGTAAATGTTAGTAAAAGCTTTAAAATTATGAGTGCAACGTTTTAGTTAATTATCTACTCATGCTGACATTAATTAATTCAGTTCATCCATTTTTATATATCTTTTCTTTAAATAATATAATTCTTAAGAAGACAGATAAAAGATCTTAAAACTTACCTAGACAATAAGCGAATTAATATTGACATTTTAAAATCGTATTATTGAAATGATAAAGAAAATGAACAATACAATAAAACAAATGAAGACACACCGAATAACAATGAATTACACAAGTATGACTTAATTACGTTGTAGACATAAGATAGACAATTTGTCGTAGTTTTCTAAAACCAAATAAACCGATAATGACAAGGATAACGATATGTTTTATACAGAAATTTCGTTCTCAAAACCAACGGTTAGAAAATCGTGCCTTGAGTTTATAATTTTTCAATAATGGTAGGTGTTCTATTCAATGTTCAATTACAATACCTTTTTAATATTTTCGCGGATTTAAGGTTTTACTAGATGAAATATGTACTCTGTCTGATGAAACGTATGTTGATTTCAAAAGGAATGAAATTGTTTGAATAGCACGCAAAGTTATAGATTAACATTATCTATGTGTTAGTGTTTAGTACCTTGAACGTGCAAAAACAACATTCAAACTCAGAAGGCAGCTGATCCAAGTCAAGTTGTTTGTCAGCAATTTTCTTTTCCTAGAAAAGAGAAAATATGGGGTTACACTAATCATACAGCTCCTAAAACTGTTAGTCAACGACCAAAATCTTTACCGATTTTTTTTAATCAATAAAAAATATTATTTAAACGTTAAGGCAATACAATAGGTGAAAATAACTAGAGTAGACTCATAGCTTCACATGAAAAATCGGTAATGATTTTATAATAAAAGCGATTTGCGAACTAAACAATGATACAACGTCGTTACATCTAGATAGAATAGAAAGCGTTACTATTAGCTAAAAGTGTAACGATGCGAGGCTTACTGGTGTGGGCTCAATGAGCAATCGTTTCTCCGGTGAGACAGCGCCCTCTGTCGAATACCGGCGCTCCTTATTAGGGCTGCTCTGAAACTGCGTCCTATCGTGTCAGTAACTCTACCGCTGATCCACTGCCAAAGGGTGCGTCCAATATTTACACCGAGTGCAATACTGGTATACTAAGAAAAGCGGGTCATTGGTGTCTTGTTAATTTGGAAAAAGACTATCTTAACATAATTAAGAACTACCCTCAATAAAAACGTCCGGATCCGTAACCATTTCTTAGAACACAAAAGGAAGTATCAATTTTTAAAGCTATATTTTTTTTATAAATTAAGAAAGGCTGTAGCAGAAATAACTTACCGCAGCAGTAGCTAAAACATTAAAGTTTTTCATTACTATAACGGCATAAAAATCTAATATCAATTAATCAACCATAGGCTTACGTGCTAATATCTAACGATTCAATAATTTAAATTAAATATGCCCCATTAAAAACGTACCTTGATCCTTGTGGTAAAACTTGGAAATTCATGAGTTTAATTTATAACGTAATTTTGCATAAAATAAAACTGAAGCTTTGGCTAATAAACATGTGTAGATATATAGGTACGAGTAGAATGATTGGACGCACCCGGAGCGGCGCGGGGCGCGGCGGCGGGCCTCACCTGGCGACCATCGGGCGGCGGCGGCTTGCCGATGGCGTGCTCGTATTGCCGGTAACAGCCCGTGGTAGCTGGCGCCTCGCCCTCCAGGCTAGTGGCGTCCGCCTGCGACAGGTTGTGTCCTGGACACACACACCATCGTAAGTAGCCAACTCTCCCCTCACGGATCCCTCGTGAACTTCACACACGTAACAGTAACGGTGAAATTGCGTCAGACGAATAATTAAAAATTAGAAAAAAATGAGAGTAAACAGCGGCGCGAACTACACATAACACATTCAACACGAACAGTCTAAGATATCCAGCGTCCTCCGGCACACACAACGGGCGGTCCACGGAAGTCAATGTTAGTTCTAGAAGCGTTAGCCTTACGCTGACAATGTGATCGACCTTATACGAGTGTCTTCGTCGCACATCGCAAGCTACGCGC